GTGGTGTGGTCGGCTTAGCAGTTGTCTCCCAACCGGAAGGTTGAAGGTTCAAATTTCAGTGCCTGCAGTCCACGTGTCAAAGTGTCCTTGGGCAAAACACTGAACCCCCCAAGTTGAACCTGATGGTGGTGCGTATGCACACTGGGGCCCTCAACTCCAAACAAAATTTTGTTGTACATGTTACAGTGACAATAAAAAAAAAAGCTTCTTCTATATAGCATTCCTCTGTGACACAGAGCTCCATTATTGTCAAAAAAAAAAAACTACAAAGAACACATCAGAGAGTCACACACTGCAGCCTGTTTTGACTCAGTCTCACAAAGAATGTCCTGCTGATGGAAGTACCACTTTACAGTGGGTCATCAAATCTTTGTTGATCTTTTAGGATGAAGAAATGAGACTAAAATAAAAAGTGACATTTGATACCAGGAACTATGATGACATACTTTACAAAAGATGGGCAAGTCAACATGAAGTACTGTAGTTCCTAATTCTTATTCAAAGACCTGTTTCACCTGTGGAATCCCAGACTGTAGCTCCTCATTAGTAAAAGTGCTTCCTCTGTAGCCCCAAATAGCTCTTGTTCAGATGTTTGGCCACTTGACACATTGTATTAATGTTATCTGCTAATGGATGAGGTCAGTCCTGTGATAGACTGGCGACCTGTCCAGGGTGAACTCCGTCTCTTTCCCAGTGTCAGCTGGGATTGGCTCCAGCCCTCCTGCGACTCTACTCAGGATAAGTGGTGTAGATAATGGATGGATGGATGGATGGGGATTAATGGGTGGCAGTGGATCAGGGATACAGGGGGTTGACCACTAATTGCAGGGTTGGCAGTTAGATCTTTGGTCTCCCCAGTCCGCATGTCCTTGGCTAAGACATCGAACCTCAAGTTGTTCCTGGTGGCCAGGCCAGCGCATGGCAGCTCTGCCACCATCAGTGTGCTAATGGGTTGCAGCAATTGTGAAGTACTTTGCCTGGTAAGGTAGGAAAGTGTTATAGTGCAGTCCATTTACAACTGAGCTGCTGACTTCAGTCAAAATACGAATGAATCCCATGTGTATGAACAAACTTTGTGATAGAGGGGAGCAACAGTTGGAACTATAGCACCGGTACACAAATGTTTGCCTCGAAATGTTTAGAAGATATAAATATTTAAATGCAACATAGAAATGATAAAAACTAAAATGTATTTAGTTTTTGTTGACTAAAACTAACAAGAATAAAAAGACTGAACTAAAACTATCATGCATTTTTTCAAAAGACTAAAACTAAATCACATTCAGGGGCCAAACTTAAGACTCTTCATGAAATGATAATGAGAGAAAGAGAGAGAGAGGGACAGCCCTGTTACCAGCAGATTTTGTCATTAGATATCCTCTGATTGTCTTCTTGCACTGACACCTTCTTCCTGAAAACCAGTAGGAACCCCCCTTTTTCCTGTACATGAGGAATGACCTCCCAAAAATAACACAAGCTCTGCACTGTATGTGTTTGATGAGCATGTTTTTTCTACTGATGCACATTTGTCATCAAAATCATCCCATATTTGAGAAACGGCTCATATTTAAGACAAAAAGGAGGATAAATGTTAGTCACAGGACGTGATGAAATGTGACCTGATCTTCACCAGTCAC